TATTTTTATATATTAACAATATGGTAACGCTGCTTGCAACATGAACACATTATGAAGCTTCAAAAATCTCAGTATCCTTCAAAAAGTTGTTTATTGAAACTACCTTCTTTTTTATCATGGCCAGAACTCTATCCAAAGCCACTTATAAAATCAATTCGTATATTAAAATCCAATAGTTTACGTGAAGAGCGGTGCATAAAGTATTTATTCTTTGAATAGAAAAGGTCGTACGAAATGCTCAAGTGGTAAATTTGCGGGTATAAAAATGCTACTTGTATCGTATTCTACTAATATATCCTCAATAAATTGAATTGAATTGAAGATAGTCTACGTGAATAGAGTATTCCCTCTTTCATTATCTATTAAAGTCTGAAATAGTAGATATGGATAAAGCGTGTTCACGATCTTTTTGAAGAAGAATCCAACTTCGCGAAGTGAAAAAATAACACAGACGAAGAAAAATGGAAACAAATTTTGGTTCGGAAAATGTTACAGCTGTCTTTGGTGGACTGATTACATCAGCTCCAGATTTTAAGAAACACGAGGTCAAAGTGTCAAAAAGTCGCGTTCTTTCCAATATTTTCGAAGCTCTACCAAAGAAACAGAAGATGATAGAACCTTCCACTTAGGCTTAAATTAAATCTAGAACTCTCGACTACTATACCTGAAAATTCCATTCCTACACCTTGACTTGATGGTCTGGTCACTTGTAGTCATTTGTATTTGTTGAATAGCAAAAACTGATGTTGGCGAAGTTTGAGTACCTACCGCAACAACAGGTGATAGAACCTTTTACTTAGGCACCTTGACCCTAAGGCCGATTTTAGTCATTTATTGAACAGCCAAGCCTAATTTTGGCAAACATTTTTTTTCAAGAACAAAATTTACTAGTATTTTTTTATTGTTAAATAGAGGACTAAAAATCTGGAGCTGATGGAAACTTTATACCTACGGATTCGTACTCAGTACAAAAGATTATATCAATAAATAAAACTGTAGTTTAAAAAACTTAAACCTCGCTGTTAAAATTTCCATTCGTACCGTCATCAGGTTAATTTAAGAATGGAAGTTTAAAGCGATTCGCATTCGTACTGTCATCAGGTATGTAACTTGAGAATGGAAACCGCTGCATCTTTTAGGCGCATCAATATTACATACATAGTTACATCCCGAACTAATAAAAGCGAGGTAAAAACAGCATAAATATTCGCGGCACCAAAATCAGTGTTGCGCTGTGTAATTAATCTCCGCAGAAAAATGTATGGAGGTATATGGGAAAATCTTTTGAGACGGGGACTTTACAATCAAAAAAAAAACTTTTCAACATAGTAGCACAATTTGTTTTTCATAAATGATCACTTGTCAAGCCAATTGCAGTACATTATAACCCGCGTAACTAATATTTTTCAATTGCTACTCTATTTAAACCATATTTTCAAAATATTTTTTCTATTAGCCCTGTCAAGTTAGATTTTCAAGGTTGAACTAAGTCGCATAAAGCAGAAAATTGGTACGAATGTTACGAACGTCATTATAAATGAAATGTGAAAAGTCCTTATCGATCCCAGATCTTTAAAAAAAAATTATTCAGGGTCAAAGGTCACACAAATTGATTTTTACTATTTTTTAGCTAAACGGTAAGGTGTATCATAAAAATAGGTTAGACAAAAGAGTAGATCATGCAATTATCACTAAAACCTGTTATGACACTTTTTTTTTCTAAGAGTCACCATTTCTGGGTTATGACGACTCGATCGACATCCATTTTGTAATAATTAATTTAAGTTATAAAATAATTTCAATTCAAGTAACAGGTAGTAGTATGAAAAATTCAGTCCGCATGGCAGGTGCCACGGGCCCTTTTCTAAGAACGCACATTTTTCCATGAGTATAGTGTTGATTTCATATATCTCCATACTTTCAGAGGTATGCAGTATCAAAAATTCCGTTTGTGTGGGAGGTGCCACGCCCCTTTGTCTAATCAGGATAAAAGCTACCCTATATTTTAAGTTGGGCTAGATGACACTAGTGTGCGAAATTCCATTAAAATCGGTTGAGTAGTTAATGCGTGAAAGCCTAACAAACAAACTTTTCGCATTTATATCAGTAAGGATTATCCAGTACTGACCATTAAAATAATTTTTAGAGGTGAGCATTTTTTACACAGACCCAAATACACAAACACAAAATATTGCACCAGGGTTTATGAATTTTCTTGCCCTTGATTGGTTGTGCTCAAAGAAAAACCAATATTAAGTAAAAAATTACGCAGTGATAACGCGTGTGCTCAAGAAGAGTTTTCAGCAATGATAAGTAGCACATTGTCCTTTAACCTAGGATTCTCCTTCTGAAGAATTGAAGAAGTATGTTTTATAGCCACAAATGTAAAATAAGTACCGCTCAACGACTACCACAAGAAAATTCACTTTTTTTGTGAAATACGTGAAATTGAGTTACAGTTGTAAGCAGCCTCTTTTCTTGCATTTGGTAACTGGCACCTTAATACCTGTCATTTTATTCCTAAGAACCTACAAATAAATGTCTGAAAACCCCAGCTTTAGGTCTGACCGCTCAAGAAGTTATACCTTAATAAAAAAATAGATTTTGTGCGGGTTGCACTAGAAATTTCCTGATTTTCTCGATTTTAGCAAGTAAACTGGTGATTTAAACCGTTAGTTTTGTTTTGAATAACTATTTATTGATATTTACACATATAAGTATTATAAACGAAGGTATAGAAACCGCACTTGGCAGTGCAGCTGCTTTGTAGGCGCAACAATATGGCAGTACGCAATATGTCCCCGTCTCAAAAGATTTCCCCATATAAGTTTAAAAACAAAGCTTTTTTCTTATCTACCGAAAAACGAAAATTTCTCTAAAAATTAGAATTGATATAACTCTATACATTTGCTTGCTGCTGACTAATTGCTATGAATGTAGAACGTTAATAGAGATCTAAAAGTATACCATTGTAGAGGTTTTGCACTAATCCAGAAATGGAAGAGCAAACAGTATAAAGGAAGAGGCTTATAAAAATATGCTTGCATGCAGAGCCTTATAAAACCCTTATAAGAGCACAGTCTACGACTATAACCTTATAAAACAATTGTTCTTCACACTTAGAGTTTTGTGTTATCGGGTAACGAAAATGCGCAATAATTTTTTAAATGAAATATGAGAAGAAGAAAAATGTTACTCATACGCCATGTACGACTATGTACGATTATGGTCATATCTGTTATTTTTTTCTCTGCTAAAATTAGAATAGTTTTTCATTCACAATGCAAACTTAAAATCATAACATCTTGAGAGAATTACCTGATCTAGAAACGGTATACAGATCCTTAAATTACGGCCCAAAATTAAGTTTACATGTTGCGGCGTTTTTTTTTTTTGTGTTATTTCCAAACTTGATACTTGCCTGCAATAATATTTTCAAACACAAAGTAAGACGAATTTAAAAGAAGTTTCAGCAATCCTCCACCGTTAAATACGAGTCTATAACCACGCAAGCCTATTGCATCCTTTCCCATCGTCAACAACGACGCCCTATCCAACCAGTTTGACAGTTGTAAGCCAATGAGTTCAGCTCAATAAAAAAAATGTCTAAACAACCCCAGTCTGTAACTGTAAAAAGTCCCAAATCTGTACAAATATACAAATCGTATGATCCCTGCTTAAGCGCTTAAAAAAAAAAAAACAAGTTGTGTTCAAGCTTTAGCGGCAAAATTTTATGCGCAGTTTCTTTTGCTTCAAAAATTGTTTGCCGACGAAGACTAATGTTCATTGTTCTTTTTAAAAAGTTGGAAGTACACTTCATAATTTCGTCATCTACATAAAGTACTATGTTTAGTATTTTTAAATACATCCCTGCAGTGAAAAGCCAAACCAGTTAAAAAAAATACTAGTTCATTAACTAGTATGTGCCTACCAGTTCGACAATTTCGAAGAACTTAGGCGATCAGCGACATCTGCCTTTGAATTGCCAAAGCCAAAATAAAACGCAATTAATTGCTTTTCTTACAAATGTCGGCTGTGGCGTCACGTGAAGACTTCTGGTTCTGGTTCTGAAATCGCAGGTTCGAGGCCGCTTGGAGGTGGTTAAGGTTTTACAGTTAAATAAATGTAAGTAAAAATAATTTATTCAATTTATAAATAAATAACAAATTTGAAAATCTAATTGCATTGCAAAAAAACATTTAGGAAGAAATGCTTGTGCTATAAAAACAAAGAAATTAAACAAAAATATTTTTTTATTAAATTTAAAAATTACAATAAACAGCCTATACAAAAAATAAATTTATAAAAAATAAAAATAAAATAAAAAATAGAAAATGAAAAAATTTTCCCTGCGCCAGGATTTGAACCTGGGACCTCAGGCTTACCACGCGAGTGCTTTGCTCTGTCGGCCATTGTGACTGCTGGAGCGTCGCGAGCAAAAAGGCACACTTATGCTTTCCACGGGGCATGAATTGGCAGACTATCTCATCAACTGGTATGATGCTACTAGTATTTATACTAGTAGATGCTGATGCATAGCCTGACAATTGACATCTCGTAGGACATCGCAATGTTAAAAATACCAGTCGCTAACATTGAAATAGGATAGAACGTGAACTAGTTCGGCTGAAACGCAAACCAGTAGAATTCTAGTTCACAACTAGTAGCTTTCCCTGCAGGGATTGTACACACCTACGTGCATATAAATAATGCCTACGTACAAATGTGCCGTTCACAAGAATTTTCACACTAATTTTGTATGTATGTAGGTCCCATCCTTTCCGCAACCCACTTTATTTAAATACTCCGCTCAGCTGTTGACCAACTGAGGAACACAATAGTTGGTTGCGTGCGCCAGCTGGCCCCTTGCGTTAACTTACGGCCCCCTTACCCAGTCCCGCACTTTACAAAGCAATTGACCATCGGCATTTTCCGTTTTTCCGAATGTTAAGCTCCGCGTTCTGACCGAGTCTTGCCACTGCGCGGCATTTATGTTTTGGTCATTTGGTCGCCGTGTGCCATGGAGTGCGCCTGCTTTTAAACGCTAACAGCTACGAGTACACTAGTGGTCGTGGGAACGTTTGAAATAGTCGGCACGCATATGTTTTTTCATTTAGTATCGCACAATGTTGCTAAAATTGTATTACTCGTTTAACAAAGCAAAAGTTCGAGTATCGATTTGCTGACGCAGCTTAGTGACCAAAGAACTTTACGTGAATTTGTGCTAAATTTCTCGAATAAAAATATTAAATTTTAACTGCGTTGTTTACCCGTTATTCATTATGTTGAAATAGTGCTAAGTAGTTACTCGAAGTGTTAAAACCTGCGTGGTAAAGAGCTGTCAAAAATTATGAAATTTGACACCCAACCCAATGCCACAAATCCAGAGCACCTCCCTCCAAACTCGCCTAAGGCAGAAATTCACCCCACTCCCAACGCAGAAACCAATAACGAAAACAACAACATCCTTGTTACTGATACAGGCAACGAGACACCTGCAACTCTTGCAGAATCGGACTTAAAAAACAGCAGCTCAATAGTCCGCAACCAAAATTTCTCTTTCGCCAGCACCTATCGACCTCAGCCACATGTCAGCAGCCTTAATAGTCGTTTCGGCAGCCCTCAACCGATAAATACGAGTCTATATCCACACAAGCCTATTGCATCCTTCACCGTACTCAACAACGACGACCTGTCCAGCCAATTGGACAGTTGTAAGCCAAACGCAATTGTGCGCCCGATACGTCGTTACGAGCAGCGGGATTCGGCGCTGCCCTTTCGCCAGAATGTTGCAACTGATGAAGAAACGCTGTGGTCCCTACAGCAATCTCATCGTCAAAAGAATCGTTTCTCTTCCTCCACCATGTCGAACAAAATGACGCATTTGCCCTCGGGAAGGTCAAACGACGAAGAGATTGAAAAGTTGAGAGAGGAATTGAATCGGAAGCTACGTAGTCTGCATTTAACAACAGCTCCAGATGTGTGGACCAAGTCCAGACAATCTTCAAATGTAGGCCTATTTGCTTTAAATAAATATGTAGTAAAACGCGCATTACTGGAAAAGTTATGTAGTCAAGAAGTTAAGAGGAAAAAGCGAAGACCCTTTCATACATAAGAATATATGTATTTTATTTTGATCTTGGCCTTTTCCAGCAATTGCGCGATAGACTTGCATACATATATCAATTCAAGAATATTAATGCTAAGGAAAGTAATATCTGCAAATACTTATCACTAACAGCGAATAGAAATTCAGAGTTTTCAAATTAAACCCTGTACGCCGGATATTTTTTTTGTTTATTAAAAACTGATACTAATTTCGCGCAATTCGAGTACATACTTTCCTAAGCAGATTAATACAAAATGTGAAAATTCTGAAAGCTTGCAATATACTTAGGTAGTGCCTTTCTCCTAAACCCCTAACTTTTTTCTCACTTCATGCACATACATAGACAAGTCAGCAAGACCACGTGATTAAACGTCCACTCTTCATAACAACGGTACCAACTGGTATATTCTTGCCACCCCCAAAAGAGCCACCCATTCCATGGTTTCTAAGACCGCACGTCTATGCATATTCTTCACATCCTGTGGTGTTGGCCAGCAACGACGTCGTCACATCCGTCGCTAGCAAGGCCAAACCTCGTGACAGCTCCATAGCGTCAACAACGATAGCCGCCGACAATAAGGCGGCAACACGGCCAACGTTGAATAGTGCAAATCCGAGTTCGAATATAAATGGAAATTTGGCTGCAACTGCGATTTTAAATGGCACACGGAGTGGTCAGTCGCCCCCTCGCTCTCGTTTGCCCTTAGCTGGTGGTGTACATCTCACCAAACAACAATTTCAGGAACAACTTCAACAGCGTCGCGCAAAAAGGTAATCATCGACCCCAACACCACAATTTACATTTATTTATGTATAGATATATGAATGTGTGAATGTAAATGTGGCCATAATTATGGCACCCGAATTTTAATTGATTTTTTTATGGTGGTAAAAATTTTCAGTTAGGGTATATTACAGTGTGCGAGTGTACTTCTCCCACCTAAGAAAATCTACATATACACTGTGGGAAATAATGCATAGTAAAAATGAATAGTTTATATATATTTGATTTGCGTTTAAATATGTTCGTATTAAAAATAATATTTTTATACAAAAATTTATTACGCACGTATTTAACTGTTCACATCTGAGTATGTATATGTAAATTTACATACCAGGGATGAAAAACTAGGTACAATTGTACCTTTTTCCGACGTTTGCTGACCTACTAGCATGTTCGGACCAACAACGAAAACACTTTGAAAACGAGTTTTGGGATTGTGGGCTGAAAGCTGTTCGCACCGGCTGTTAGTGTTTTCGTTGACATTTTTTTCATCCTTTGTTTACAGTTTTGCTACGAAAAAAAAAAAATCAAAATCTTTGTCTTTAATTTTCTTATCATTAGCAACCTTCTTCTTTTGTACATATTTTAATTTGGCCAGCCAATTGACAATAAATCCCAAAAAGCCCAAATACTAATGAAGACACCGATTGGAATGAGTGGAACGAGAGTTTCAAGTAGTCTTCAGCGAAAACTGGTTTTTGTTTGACAGATTTTACATGGACGAAAACACAAGTTTTAGGTCGAAAACCAGTTATAGCAAGGAAAACATGTTTTCGATGTCGGTCCGAACATGGTATAAAGGTACATTAGGTACAATCACTAGATTTTAGGTACAATCATCTTTTGATCAGATGAATTTCTATTCTTATTTTTTTCTTTTTCCTTTACTGTGATATTATAATTACTTGCCGGTATGGGAAAAAGTGGGGAAAAGTGGTCAAAAGGAAGAAATTAACAAAATCATATTATGCACGATTGAGAGAAATAGAGATTGCGCCAATCGCGGTACAGCTAATCCGCTCTTTGTGATTTTGACAGAATCAGCTGTGTGCGTGACGTCATCTCGGTGCAATTGTTGATTGTGAGCATACGAAAAAACCAAATAACAATTTTAATATATGTGCATTAATATATCTGCGTGGTTTTAAACAATTATTGAGACATTACAAAGCAAAATTAAGTATGCCGGGGCGAAGTGTAATAGTGAAAACAAAAGGAAAGCGTGCGATATAAGTTTTTTTTTCGTTTCCTACGGACGGAAATCTGGCGAAAAAGTGGAAGCAGTTCTGCCGGCGAGGAGATGCATTAAGCACCAAATCGAGCTATGTGTGCATGAAGCACTTTACTACTGAAGATATTGAAAATAATATTTTTAGTGCTGGTATGAGGTAATGCACAAGCGGCATCTTACCGCGCTGTTACGTACCTAATACAAAACAGTGCCCAAATTATTATACATTTAAAAGTTCAGCTTAAATTATGTTTTACTTACATAGAATAATTGTTTCCAAAGAAGCCACACTCATGCATCCTCTCGGAAATGATACAAAAGTCATCAAATAAAAGCTGAATACTTTTTTTCGGTTTTTATCTTGATTATACACTTCACGGATGCTTTTTCAGCGGTCATTTTAATGTGCGCGTAATTGAATTGAATATTTACCAGTATACAGTACTTTCGTTGACGTTTATAGTAAGATACATTACGTTTCTGATTGATTTTAATATTTTTTTCCGTCAGTGTATGTAATACACATGAATGCACTGTTAGAGCAAGTTAGAAAATCTTCATATTTAAGTAGTTTTTCATAAGCGCAAAGTTGAAGTGCCGTTTTCTCAGGTAGGTTTTGAAATTTATTTGGCCTTTTTTTCAGAACAAAATTTGTGTTTAAAGGGCAGATAAATTTTAAAACCTATACTAAGGAAGAAGTAGCATGATTTTTTCCAAACAGAGTCATTTTTAGTTTTTCCATGTTAGCGATTTAAAATTTTTTAACAGAAAAATATTTTTTAAACAAACTTAGAAGTAGGTATGTTAGATCGATCGAAGAGTGCTGTTGTCTAGAAATTTTTATCGAGAATGAGTTTAACTCAATCAAAAAATTTTCAAACAACTCTCTAGCTATTATCTCTACAAATGCACCAATCGCGTAATCAAAGTGAACATTTGACCTCACATGTTGTAGTTGTAGCTCAGTGATCTTTGCCCATTCTTTGTTAATTTTCAGTAGGGTCCGGGCTGGAATGCCATTAGGCAGAACATATAATTTTAGATATTTTTCCGGTTTTTATTAATTATACGAAAAAGAATCTGTGAAGTGCAGAACAAAATCGTATTCAAACGAAAAAGCTCCAAAAATAAATCTGTTTAAAGTAAACAAAAGGTCATTTGGCGCCAAATCATATGTATTTTAGCTAGAAACAAAGAGGATATGGTTTATTTTTTTCTCAGTAAGAAAAGACACAATCAACTTCCACTTTTATGACATAACTCTCTTTGATTCCGTATATTTAAGGACCATGCGGTTCGATTTTTTTCTTTTTTTTGTTAAATATAGAGCTAAATATGTGCTACACAAGTCCCTAAAAAAATAAAAAAAACACACACACATATATATATGTAAGAATTGATCGTTTAATGTAATAAGATAACATACTTGTGCATGGCGTATGAGTAACATTCTTTCCTGCTCATATTTCATAAAAAAAAATTATCACGCATTTTCATTTGGCCATTCACAACTTTTTTATTTATCAATCGATTTTCTTCGTTAGTAGCTTGATTTTTTTGTAAAAGAAGAAACAAAAAAAAATTACAAACTATTTTTTTTTACTTTCCCTGTTAAAATTTGATTTTTTCTATAGAAATGAAAATGTCTTGTGAAAATTACCTGATCTAGAAAACAATCTACGACTAAAAATTAAGTTTTATTAATTAGTTTCCCTCAATTAAATTGTGTGCTGTTACAAATTGAGCTTCTTAAATTTACTGTTACAATTTTTCAATAAAAGCACACACACAGTTTTGCACAAAATAGTCAATTATTCTTTCTTTGAAAGACTAGGTGGAGAGGAACTTAGCTTTTCTTGGTGTTTCTGATTGGCGCTAGTTGACTAGAAAAAGAAAAGACTGGCGTGCTGGAACTCGACCAAAACGGCTTAAGTGACTATAGCGTCAATGAAGAAGAAGAAAATAATAAAAAACACTGTGCTCGGTTTTGATAGTTGTTCTTAATTAACCGGGGTCCTCTTAATTCATTTGCGTCCCCCGTTTTTTAGATTGGTTTTAGTTTTCAAGATAACGATATTTCAAATATCCTTTGATGTCGCTTAGAGCTCATTTAGATATAGCTTTATGGACTTATTCATAAAAAATAAAGTAGCTTTTAAAAAGGTTTATAAATTGAAAAATTCATGAAAACATCAATAAATATAAAGCTCTTTAAACCTACTTTATTTTTTATGAATAAGGCCATTACATCATAAGTGTAATATATAAAAGTCTCGTGTCCCGGTGTTTGTGTTCGTACTCCTCCTAAGCCGCTTAAACGATTTTTATGATTTTTTTTGGGCGTATTTGTTAGGTATGAGAATATTTCAGCGGTGGGCAAGGCCGAGGCCGAAAATAGCCAAATGTAAATTCTAAATGCTACAGAGATCCACAAGAAAAATAAACCAAAAATTTAATTTTTACAATAAAATTATTATTAGAAATGAAAAACATTAATATTATTATTATTCCAATGTAGATGTTAAAGAAAATCAGTTAAAACCGTTCGTAACAGTTCTGTTAAATGTTGGTTAGTCAATAGGTACGTTCGTTTAAAATCTCCAGTAAAAAATATCCAACAGCAAAATTCCGACGAAATTTCATCTGTTCTCTCGCAAGAGAAAAATATCCCAAATAGTACGCGAACAGAAAATTTTTAGAAACTTGCAAGTTAGACGAACACCTGATAGAGATTTTGTTTACATTCAAAAGTATGAAATTGAAGACATAAGACAACGAATCCCGAAGTCTTATCCTGACACAGTTCACTGACTAAACTATTAAAGAATATGCAGCAAAAAAAATATGTATTTAAAAAAGGAAAAATGTTCTAAGCAAAGAAACAGTAAAAAGAGCCGCACTTTGCCAAGCAAAGAGCCGCGTTTGCCCACCGTTGGTGTATTTCATACCGCTAGGTAAAGGGGGCGTGGCACTTCCCACACAAACCCAATTTTTCATACTACATATCTCCGGAAGTGCTCATGGTAGAGTAATGAAACTTGGTATTGATACATGTGAAATCAATCCCATACTCAAGGAGAAAATTAGAGCTATTTGAAAAGGGGCATGGCGCCTTCCAAATATTCTGAAACTTTTACCTGTCTTTATGGATATATATGTACGTGTTTGTGTGAGTTAACCCATCTTAACAAAAATACTCACGCATTAGCTCTGATCCAGTACTTCATGAACTTCCAGGTTTTTACATGAACTTGCAGGAAGTTACAGAAAAAATGTTCCCGTACTCCAAAAACCTTTAAATGAGGGCGATTTTTGGAGAGTTGTGTAGAGAATAAAGTTGTAAGATTTTACCCGAACTTTTTCTTCTGGTAAAATCATGAAAAGTGTCAAGCGATCGGCTGTTTGACGTGTTACAGGAATAATGCTTTTTTTCTTTACTCGTATAACATAAGTTTGTTTCTAAATGATCTCGAAGCGACCCAAAGCAATTTTCAAAATTCAGTTTCTAAAAATTTAGAAGGCTTTAGGTAAGTTAGATAAAATTTGGAACCTGCCCAGTGTAACTAATGCAGCAAAAGTTAGCCCATGTAACAGAGATTATTTTACTGTTGTTTTCTTTTTATATTTAGATCTAAATAAATATTTCGTCCTAACTCTTAATATGATGGACTTTGTCATGCTTTAGAGTAGAGTTGCACATGCTATCGAAGGTGGCATTGTCAGAAGAACACCCAATGTCTACAAAAATGCCCAAAG